CAATAAAATGATTTTAAAAAACAAAAACAATGAACAAAACAAACAAACAAACGAAAATAGGTCATTCTAGAAGGCCAGGTTTTGCTTTAAGCTTCTTGTGCCTTTAAACTTGTATTTACAATCCGCTACCCCAGGTATACACTGACTTTTCTTGGAAACCTTGCCCCTTTTCACATAATGTGTAAGAGTAAAGAAGTTAAAGGTTGATGTCCTCCATTACTTATTCTCTAATATGTGGATCCATCCATCCCAAGCCATCAATATCTTTTACCTTTGAAGCAAAAATTACAAACCCTCTTTGGCCAAACCAATTAAATGAGCACAACTATCATCCAGGCAATGATGTAGGTATTTGGCATATACCAATAAACAAAAGAGACACAACTCCCTACCCTAGTAAGCTTATGTTCCAGCAAGTGAGATGTCGTAAATGAATCAAATACTATATTAGAATACAATGAGAGGTTTGGGGGAAAAAGAACAACAGAACAGGACAAGGGAAATCAGGAGTGCTGGGTGGAGGGCAAATTGCATTAGTAAGGTGACCAAGGTAAACCTCACTGGGAGGATGGGATATAGGCAAATGCTTGTGGAGGTGAGAAACTTAGTCGAAGAGATATTTTAGGGAGGACAATTTCAGGTAAAATGAAAAGACTGAAGCAGGATGAGGAATGTTGTTGGTGTATTTGAGAAACAGCAAATAAGCCATCGTGAATAAGTAGAGTGAATAAGGAGAGGGAAGGAAAGAAGCTAAGAGACGCCCCACAAGGGATACACACTTAAAATTAAATAAGCCCGTGAACTGTAATGTGGAAGAAAACAGCATCTTCTTTTATTACCTATAAGAACTCAATATTTTTGTGTTTTCAAACAAATGATTAGAGGATGATATAGTCCACAAAGACAATATTCTACATTCTAGGGGTCTTAAAAGCTTGTGAACACAAATACATTATATGAGGATGGGGAAATAGATCTATGAGCCTACATTTATAGATTTAGTATAAAGGTAGCAGAAGGACATTGGGCCTCCACTCAAGTACTCCCTCAACACAAGAATACTTTCTTCTA